CAGCCAAACGCTCTAACCACTGGTGCCACAAAGGGTCCTTCGATTAAAAATAAATATGGCAATAAAAGGATGGGGAAATGTTGACATAGTCAATTAACTAAGACAACTGTTCTAAGACTTTAATTGAACATGTTTTCACAGGAATAAGACTTCCTCTAACAAGTGATGGTCATAAAGAATACTTTAAAGTCTGTCAGTTTGTGGGATCAAACTGACAACAGTGACTTGTAAGATTAGACAGGAGACTTGGGGTGAGTTTATGTTAATGAGGGAGAAAGAATTTGGAAATGGTGAGAACTTACAGATTGTCATCAGTGTCATGGACTCGTACACGTAGAAACTGCTAAACTGGTGTATGTTTTGCTGTGTATATGCTCAACCACCAAACACAAAATAAATAAAACTGTGTATATGTGTAAGAAATTCATTCACGGGAGCTGTTCAGTAAGAACCTTTCTCCTGGCAACAGTATCTAGAAAACTATTCTTGTCATCTTCAAAAGGTAGGCTGTCAAGCTTTATAATGTAAATGGCCCCATCTCATCAGCTCCCCCCACCCCCGTAGCATCCAACCCTTTTCAGTTACTAATTTCAAACAACGGTGGGCTGCTGACCTGCATCAGCTAGCTCTTGGGTTTGCTGGTTTGAAAAGCATCTATTATGTAGTGAAACTGCTGTCCACACAGTTGTAACTGAAACAGCCTCCCCTGACAGCAGGGACTGTCACTGTGCAAGAGGTTCCAGAACCCATCGTTGCAGAGTCACTTCCTGCAGGGGCTCAGTCGCTCGCGCGTTTGGGAGCCGGACCAGGCAGCGTCCAGGTCTCTCCCAGGCCCCTCTGTTCTGGTTCCCTGGTGCCGCTCTGACAGGAACATACCACAGATGGGACGGCCTTAACCAACAGGGGTTTATTCTCTTACAGTTCGGAGGCTTTAAGTCCAAGTTCAAAGTGCCAGGCTCTAGGGGGTGGTGAAAGCCCCTCAGCCTTGGCTTCAGCTCTGCCTCCTGCTCCCGGCCCACTGGAGCTAGAGGCTTTCTTCACTCAGACGGCTGCTGGCTGCTGAGGCTGAGAAGCCGCAAGATTGACAAGTAAAAGGGGCACAGTCCTGATGTTACCAGACCACATGGCAGGTCATTAACTTAAGTCCGTTGTAAGTCCCAAGGTCGGCAGAACATAACACAGCTACATGCAGGGTCCAAGCGTGCCCTAGGCTAGAGACCATTTCCAATTCTCCTTATATACAGGAAGCAGACACATCCCAAAGGTAGCTACTCAGCTGCTTGTGGTAGATCCCACCATGGAGGTGATTGCCAGTGTAACATGGGGAATAACTACCACCAGCTGCCCAGCCACTCAACCAGGCCCAGCCAAGTTGACACCCTCTCTTACTCAGCAGCCTCCTGTTACCATCCAGGACATCTCAACTCTCACCTGCCTTCTGTACAGTATGAAATCAATAAAAGGAATCTATCAAGATTTTGCCGTAACTGCGTTGCTATTAACAGAAATTCCTCAATAGTGGAAGAGCCCAGAAAAGAAAGACAGGGCTGCCCTCTTGTGGGGACTGTTGTCTCTGCTCCTCACATAATTCCAATTCTGGGCAACCGCGTTACAGAGTGGGACTGCTTGGTAAGGTTTTCTTGGCTGTAAAATATATACATTTTAAATTGTAAAACCTGTTGAGCATCTACACAGCGGAACGTATCAATTCCGCAGTTGCTCCGTGTTCAGCGCACTGACACCAATGACATTCTCCCACTCGGGCAGCTGTCCTCACCCTCCTCTGGGTCGCTCCTTCCCCTTTAACAGAAACTCACTGGCCCCTAAGTGTCCTGTCCAACCTTGTGAGTTGCTGTTGTCAATTTGACCCCATTGAGATAATTCCTAAAAGAGCCCGATGCTCAGGGCAGACTTGGCTGTAATCTCTACAGAAGCAGGTTGGCAGGCCTTTCCTCTGCAGGGCCACTGGGTGGGTGTGGACTGTTGGGTTAGCAGCAGACCGCACACCCTCGTGTGCCCAGGCCCAAAGGCACTGAGCTTACACATTGAGCGTCACCCTTTCCCCAGGTGTCTGGTGGAAACCTGGATAGGAAACTGAGCCACTGGCGAGTGGCTGCGTTCTGTTCTGTTCATTACCTCGTCCATGTTCCACGTGCGGGGGCTGCGTTGCTTGTTGAAGTCTGTGTCCGAAGACTTCCCAGTGATGATGCGTGGGTCCCAGCTGGGCTCCTTGTCCACACTGGCTTCTGGTTTTTTATTTTAAGTCTACTGAATCTGGACGGGAAAAATCACATTCCTGCCCATTTTCCATTCTGAAACCTCAGGAAATAAAGGGACACGTGCTTTCAGGGCTGCCAAACGTTCGAAACCATTTTCTTCACAGGCACTCCTGAAGTCAACATGTGTTTCGCCAGTGAGCAAAGAAAAACCCCACCAGCTTGGATGCAAAGAGGACATTTCAGGATCCGCAGTCACACATCACAAGAACTGTAAGTACGAACTCATTTCATTTATTGAGGTAATGTTACAGTCAAAACAGAAGACGCCGACACAGAAATGCCAGCAGCCGCGATGATGGCGTGTAACAGACGCAAGGTGACCTGAGTGCATCTGCTGCACGGGGAGACACGGCGCCCTTCCTGCTGGGACACTGATCGCAGTGTTCACCTCGCACAGGGCTCTGCGGTTGGGGTATTTATGACTGACCAAAACTGGAAGAATCTGAATTCAGACCTATCAATTTTACAGTATGGGGGAAAAAAAAGTGCAAATATATCAAAAGCATCTGTTGGCTAAAAAAATGTGGGTGGCTGTAAAGATAGGTTCATGTGAACTTCAAGGAGGCATTTGCCACGCTGCTAACGTGTGCTGTGGAGTGGATCATGACTCACAGCGAGCCCACGAGAGAGAGCGGAGCTGCCCGCAGGGTTTCCTCGGCTGTAATGTTGACGGAGGCAGATGGCCAGGTCCTCCTCCCACGGAGCAGCTGGCGGGTTCCAACAGCCGCAGTTGGCAGCGGAGCCATGAAACATCACACTGCCAGGGCTCCTTGCCTGTCTCCAAACCAAAGCAAACCCACTGCCGTCGAGTCAATTCTGACTCGTAGCGACCATGCAGGACAGACTAGAACTGTCTCAGAGGGTTTCCAAGGCTGTCATCTTTCTCCTGAGGAGCGGCTGGTGGCTTCAAACCTCCGACTGACGCTCCAAAAGGTCGAGCGCTTAGCCACTGCGCCACGAGTGCTCTTTCCCATGCAGCCAGAGGCCAGAAAACCTCTCCAATGGGCAAAACACAAGAATTACAGGGCACTACAAAAAAGTCCAGATACTTTACAAGGAGACATTTTCATCATCAGACTTACATGTTTCAATTTAAAGAAATATAAACAAAATGATTTTAGCAAACCAGCAGGCTATAAACTGGTGCACTGATAAGGAACAACAGACTATAGCCTGGGGGCTCACAGCTGCCAAAGTGTATCATTAAGGGAGAGTACAATCGGGACACAAGCTCTGTAAGTCGATCTACTCAAGGATGGAAACAAAAAATACCGCTCGTCATTTTCTCGCCTAATCTAGAGTTTTTCATTTTTCACTCCAGTTTTATACTATTAAAATCTTTTTGGGTGAATTGAGAACTGATTAAAAGCATAATATTAAATTTAAAATTGTGTGGAAAATTCATTTGTATAAAAAGATATGAAAATTAGTCTTTTATGTTTAAAAATCATAAAAAATACTTGAAATTTCATGGGTGTGTCCAATTCAACAGAACTATTCCCAGCTCTGCCTTCTGGCGAAGCACTGAAGAGCTGGCCTAGAAAGCCAAAAACAAAACAAAACAAGACAAAACAGTCCAATCAGTGGCCGTCGAGTGGACCCCGACTCGTGGTCCCCCACGTGTTACAGGGTAGAACTGCCCGTGGGGTTTGCTAGGCTGTAGTGTCTGTGGAGGAACATTGCCAGGCCTGTCTCCCGCAGTGCCACTGGGTGGCTCTGTACTGCTAACTTTTCAGTTAGCAGGCCCCAGGGATGGCAGTTGCTCTATAACCAACACCAAATCTGTGGCCGTCAAATGAAATCCAACTCACAGCGACCCTGTACTAGAGCTGAAATAACCATTACGCAAAGAATTCATTGCAAGTGGCCTGCCTCCCCAATGCCAAGTGAATTCATAGGTGGGAGGCTTTGCCGATTCAAGATTGAAGCCTATTAGGAAGTAACCTGCCGTGTTCTTTGAGATACCTTGGCAGAAAAGGCACGGGATTCTAGGGACCAGTTCAGATGGTGGGGGGATGGGGACCATCTGTCGTCATGAGCTGAGTTCAGGGAACATGCAGAAGCCTGGGCTCGGTGCTGTAAGGGAAGGGCTGCTGTGGGGCCCCCCTCACTTGTCCATCAGGCTGAGGATCATCTCACAGGTCAGGGCCGCGCTGAGGTCTCCTCCGACTCCGGCGTCCACCGGGCTGAGCTCGCCTGGGCACGCCTGGCCTCTCTCCGCGGACATCTGCGCCACCTCCTGCGCGGCACCTGCTGCTGGGGGAAGGGACTAGGTTAGCGCGCTTAAAACCAAACGGTGAGATCAGAACTGGTCAACAGGGCATGTATCTTTTGGAAACAAGCACTGAATTTTAAACATGACCACAAGCTTTTTTCGAAATCTACCTTTTGCTTTAAAGGGGAGTGCAAGTATTCCGGAAAGGGCCCGGGGGGGGGGGCAGTGGTTAAGTGCACACGCCCTTTAAGTGCTGCCACTAGGGAGCTCTGGTAGCATAGTGCCTAAGGCACTTGACTGCTAAGCACAAGGCTGGCGGTTCAAACCCACCAGCCACTCCTTGGAAGGAAGATGGGGCAATCTATTTCCGTAGTGATACTGCCTCAGAAACCCAAGGAGGGGTCGCTATGAGTCGGGGCCGACTCCACGGCACATAACAACAACAACAACAACAACTGTGTGGCCGGTGGTTCGAAGCCCTCAGCCACGCTCTGTGGGAGGAAAGACCTGGCGATTTACTTCCATAAAGATCACAGCCCAGGAAACCCTATGGGCCGTTCTACCGTGTCCTAGAGGGTCGCCGTGGGCCAGGATCGACTCGACGGCACCTGGCAGCAACACAAGGCTTCTGATGTCGACGACTTGCGTTTGTCAGGGCTCTCCATGTCGGCACTGCTGATGTCGGGCCCTGGGTCTGTGGGGAGGGCTGTCCGGGATGCGGTAGGGCGTTGAACCACATTCCTGGCCGCCCCTACGAGATGCCAGGAGCACTGCACCTCTGAAGCTGTGACAACTCGGGCGTCTCTGGATAGTGCACAATCGCTCTGGTTGAGGGGCACTGCCGTACGGTAGATGCAGATCCCAGGGGCCCGTGAGGTGGCAGAGCTGGTCACCCACATCTGGCTTCTGTCCCCACCGAAAGACGTGGCCAAAATGGGAACAGCTTCTTGTGGGCACTTCCATCCACTGCAAACGCATTAGGGGCCAAGCACCGTGCTTGGACGCACTGTGGTCACGGCCAGGTCCGCAGCCTGCCCTGCCCACCCTCCAGCAGCTTAGAAACGAGTCAGGAGGGGGTTAAGACAGTGCCCTTCAGAGCCACCTGCTGACACAGACATGTCAGGATCTGCCCCACTCAGAGCCAGGGCTTGGCTGTCTGCCTCGGTCTCTCGCGTGGAGGCTGAAGGGCTGGGGTTGGAATGGCCCTGCTTGGTCTCTCCCAGTAGGGCACACGTTCACAGGTGAGCACTCCCTTGTGTTTGGACAGCAGGGAATGAACGGCTCCTGACTGGTGGGCCTGGAGCAGGTGCTAGGATGAGGAGTGAGTGCGGGGGAACAGGTCCCCCGTCCCCCAAAGGGCCCAATGCCCGTGAGAGGAGAACCCAGCTAAGTTCCCCACAGGAGAGGGGGCGCGGAGCTGAGACGTCAGGGAGGGACACTGGTCACCCAGGCAACCAGGCCAAGTGAAGGGCCAACCCAGCCCAGTTGAGACTGAGGGGCGGTGAGCAGGGGAGCGGGGCTGGCCATGGTCGGTGCCAGGCTTGGAGTGCAGGGTAGCCAGGGGAGGGGCTGTCACTGGTGGTTGGCAAGGGTGGAAGGGCTGATGTGTGTCTGAAAGTTCTCTTGGCTCTGAAAAGAGGTGGCGGGAGTCCTGTCCCACACTCACCTTCATGTGAGGCCTTGTCCTGGATGAGGGCGGTGGCAGGAGTGGAGAGGGCTGGATTCGGGGAGCAGTGTGGAAGCGCAGTCCAAGGGGGGGCCTCGAGTGTGTGGGCAGAGGGGGTGTCACACTGACCGGACCAGGTGCAGCAGAGGACGGGGGGGGGGGGGCGGGCCGGCCGTGGAGGGCCGTAAGATTCACTTTCAAATAACAGATAGCCGAGGTGTCTGCCAGGTGAGGGACCCAGGAGGACCTCACCTGCCTGCGCTTTGCAGATGTCTCGTGGTCTGGGGCCACCCTGCGTCAAGCAAACCTGTGGGCCCCATGTCCAACAGTGTGTGCTCATTGTGTGTCCGTGTCACGTTTTGGTTCCCATCATATGTCAATCTCTGTCATTATCATGTGTCATGGTGATCTGGGGCCGTGACCTTTCATGTCACTACTGTAATTGTGTAGAGGCTCCACAAACCACACACCTATAAGTCAGCGGATGAAATCAGTAAGTGTGTGTGTTCTCACTGCTCCACTGGCCGTTCCCCCTGTGTCCCTCTCCTCAGGCCTCCCTGTTCCCTGAGACGCTATTGAGACTAAACGCATTAATAACCCTACAGTGGTCTCTAAGTGTTGCAGGGAAACTTCACTGTTTTAAGAAATCCATGCAGCAAACTTCACTGTTTTAAGAAATCCCAACAGCCACCCCAATCTTCCGCACAGCCACCCCAACCTTCCCACACCCACCTCAATGTTTAACATCACGACCCTGGTCAGTCAGCAGCCATCTGCATGGAGGCAAGACCCTCCACCAGCAAAAAGATTACCCCTCCCTGATGATGGTTTGCATCTTGTAGCAATAAAGCATGTTGAAATTAAGGTGTGTACATGGTTTGTTAGACACAGTGCTGCTGCACACTTAACAAACCACAGCCAGAAAACCAAACTCAGTGCCACCGAGTCGATTCTACAGTTAACAAACCACAGCCAGAAAACTGAACTTACTGCTACAGAATTGATTCCAACTTATAGTCGGACCCCGATGGGTTTCCAAGGCTGTACATCTTTACTCCTTGGAGCAGCTAGTGGGTTCCAACCACCGACCTTTTGGTTAGTAACCAAATGCCTTAACCACTACACCACCAGAGCTCCCTACAGCCTACAGTGCAGTGTAACCACAGCTTTATCTGCACTGGGAAAGCAGAGTCACGTGACTTGCTTTACTGCCATCCTGGCTTCATCGAGGTATCTGGACCCAGACCCACCATATCTCCAAGGTACACCTGTACGTCTCCCCAGCCTGCAGGGGCCAGTGGGGATGGAGTCCTGCATCAGAGACGTGTCCACACGTAGTGACCGAGGCCAGGGTGCAGGCACGGCTGTGGGCGCGGGCACAGGTGTAGGCATGGGCACGGGTGTGGCTGCAGGTTTCGGTGTGGGCATGGGGTGGGGTGGGTGTGGTCATGGGGGAGGTGCTGATGAGGTTGTGGGTGTGGCCTAATGGCCTGTGGGAAGCAGGCAGAAGAGAGGGTGGGCCCAGGCTGAGCTCGGGGAAGGGCTGGGAGGGGGAGGAGGAGGAGGTCAGAGAGATGGGAATGTCCAGCTGCAGCCATGCAGGGAGTGAGAGGGTGAGTGACAGGGGCTGGTGGCTTCAGGTGGTGATGGGGACAGAAGCTGGGGGCAGGGCTGAGGCGGGGCAGCCAGGGGGCAGCTGTCCTGTGGTCCCTGGTGAGCTCCTCAGGCGGGAAGAACGGGAAGTGGGGGGACATGTCTGTCTCACTGGGAGACACCTGAGCAGCTGATCCTTCGGGGAAGGACGGGCTGAGGGAGGCCTGGTGGGTCTTCAAGGAGGGAGGCCCTGCCTAATTCCTGCCTCCGTGAAGATACTACACACACTACCACGGCTTTGGCCTGAAGACAGCTGAGATCCCGGCTGGATCCACTGTCTTATTCCCACCACATCATACAGTGTTTCTTCCGACATTACAGGAAACGAAGGCATCTCGGGAGCCCAGGCTGTGGGGCCTTTAGGGGAGAGAAGGGAGGAGCAGCGGCAGCAGCTGCTGGGACGGTGGTGGGGGCCTAGGGCGTCCGTGTGCTGTGAGGCGGCGATGGGCCTCACCCAGTGAGGGCCTGGGAAGGTTGTGGGTGCCGTGGTTGGGTCAGGACTTGGGTCCGACTGTGGCCTTTCCCTCCTGACGGGGTGTCCAAGCCCTCCATCCTGTGCAGACCTCACCCTCGGCTACACGGACAATGGGGGCCCCATGGAGGGCCACAGTGAGGCCACAGGAAGTGGGTGCAGACCCGTGCCTGGTGCGTCAGGAGCTCTCGGGGAGGAGGGAAGAAAGGCACCCACGGCTGGGCAGTGAGCGTGTCTCTGGAGAGTTCTAAGTGAGCAGGTACTGTGTGTGCTGCCCACAGCCCAGCTGCACGGGTCCATGCCGCAGAGGACGACACCCGCCGGAGGACGTGTTTCCTTGGATGGGCAAGCTGCGCAAAGAGGAGGGCTTGGCCTGCTTGTCAGAGTCATGGAACGAGGGACCCCAGAACCTGCTGCCTAAGGAGGAGGCGTGAGTATCAGATAAACAACAGATAGCTTTTAGCACAAACACGTCCCACAGAGTGTGTGGGACATACTGATGCTGACCACTCCCTCCTCCTGTTCATCTGAAATTCACGCTCACTGGGCGACATTCCTTTCACCGGCATCTCTTGAAGGAACAGCAAGGGCCAGCGCCCATCTGTGGGAACATGCACAAGTTGAGGACTGGGGCTCAAAAAAAGATTTAGGGGACACTGAGGAGTCAGGACGCCACACAGACATTGCCTCGATTCTGTTGTGAGGCCATTTGGTTTCCAGTCCTGCTCCGTGGCTCTCAGTTCTCCTATGAGAGACAATGAACAGAATGCCGGCCCAAGAGCTAGGTGGACCATCTCTAAGGAAGTCCCTGGGTGGCACAAATGGTTTGCAATCAATTACTAACCTAAAGGTTGGTGGTTCAAACACACCCTGGCACTCTGCTTCCATAAATATTGTTGTGTTGTGTTGTGTTGTTAGGTGCTGTCGAGTCATCTCCAACTCATAGCGACCCCATGCTCAGCAGAACGAAACACTGCCTGGTTCTGTGCCAGCCTCATGATCCCTGCTATACCTGAGCCCATCGTTGCAGCCACTGTGTCAATCCATCTCGTTGAGTGTCTTCCCCTTCTTTGTCGACTCTCCACTTTACCCAGCATGACATCCTTCTCCAGGGAATGGTTCCTCCTGACAACATGACCGAAGTAGGTGAGGTGAAGTCTGGCCATTCTTGCTTCCCAGGGGCATTCCGGCTGCACTTCTTCCAGGACAGATCTGTTGTTAGTCCTTTTAGCAGTCCGAGGTACTTTCAGTATTCTTCTCCAACACCACAATCAAAAGCATCAACTCTTCTTCAGTCTTCTTTATTCATTGTCCAGCTCTCACATGCATATGAGGTGATTGAAAATACTGAGGAATGGCTGGTGGGTTTGAACCGCCAACCTTCTGGTTAGCAGTCAAGTGACTTAGTGACTTAGGCACTACACTACCAGAGCTCCTATGGCTTGGGTTAGGCACACCTTAGTCTTCAAGGAGACATCTTTGCTGTTCATCACCTGAAAGAGGTCTTTTGTGGCAGATTTGCCTAATGCAATATATTGAAGTGTAATCCATAGTGCAGATTGGAGTCTTTAATCTTCATCAGTAAGTGCTTCAAGTCATCCTCACTTTCAGCAAACAAAGTTGTGTCATCTGCGTATCTTAAGTTGTTAATGAGTCTTCCTCTAATTCTGATGCCACATTCTTCTTCATATAGTCCAGCTTCTTGGATTTTATGCTCAGCATACAGATTGAGTAAGTACGGTGAAAGGATACAACCTTGACACGCTCCCTTCCTGACTTTAAACCATGCATAAAGATTACATTAAGCCTTTCTGACTTTTAAACCATCCATAAAGATTACAGCTAAAAACCCCTGTGGAGAGTTCTGCTCTGTCCCGTGGGGTCATCATGACTCAGAATCAAATGCTACCGGGCTTGGTCTTCTGGGTCCCTCTCGGAGTGTGACTTTACTGGGAAGAGAGGTGATGACAACCTGTCACTGAGCTGGGAACTCGTGTCAGGCACCCTGGGGCCAGGGGGTTAACGCCTGTGGCACCCAGTGGCTCCACTCTCCCAGCTGACTAGAGTTTGCAGAGCGGAGGCCGTGACACCCACCTGTCTCTCAATGACCTGGCAGCAGGAGTGTGTGGAGGGTGTGCTGTCCTGAGAGGTGGGTGGATAAGTGCCCTGATTCACCAGCGGTCAAACCGGTGGAAAATGCTCCTCAAACCCTGCCCCCAGTGACAGGGAGCAGAGCTGCCTCCCAGGACACACAGGGCGCCACGAGGGTTTCAGGTGTGTGCCCTGTCTGGTGGCTCTCAGAACCCAGGGAAATTCCTAACAAGCAAACCCGTCAGGTTAAAACGAATCATGAAGGGTACCTGCTTCCTTCTCTGCCTCTCTCAGGCCCGTCTGCTTTCTCTTTCTCGTCGTTGCCCCTTTTCCGGAGGCTGCGGACTTCTTCTGCCCTGAGTTACACTTCTCCAAGTGTCTGCTCATGTTATTCTGTTGGGGAAACAACACACGGACACACAGTGAGATCAGCATCCCTGGGCCACTGCACTGGGACATGGTCAAAGAGATGGGCTCTGGGGAAACTGAGGCAAGTGTCCAGGTGCACTGTTTCTGTAACACACCCTTCAGTACAATGCACAGGACACAACTCAGATTTTAAATAACACATTCGTAGGGCTGTACAACCACAACCACAAACACAATACAGTCTAGAACCTTCTCATTGCCCTCAAATAAACCCGGGACCATTAGCGGGACTTCCTGGGTGGTGTGAACGCTCAGCTTCTAACGACAGGTTGGAGGCTCGAGTCTACTGAGCGGCACCTAGGAAGAGGGGCCTGGTGATCTGCTACCAAAAAGTCAGCCGTGAAAACCCCACGGAGCCCAGCTGTGCTCGGCCACACAGGGCATCCCCGTGAATCCTGCTCAACCCAATGGCAACTGGTGGGGATGGAGTAACTGTTAGAAAGAGCAGCTGTGGTGGCAGAACAGTGAAAGGCCGCTGGTTCAAACCCACCGAGTGACTGCACAGGAGAAACACCTGGGATCTGCTTCCACAAAGATGACAGCCTCGGACACCCTCTGGGGTGGTTCTCTGTCACACAGGGCTGCTGGAGTCGGAACGATCAACAGCACACAAGAACAATGACCAACCGTTAGTCACTCCGTTTCCTCTTCCGTCCAATCCCTGGCAACCACCAGTCTCCCCTGTCCCTGTGGCTTTGCCTTGTATGGGCATTCCCCAGAAATGGAATCCCATGGGGTGGCATGTCTGGCTTCTTTCATTGACTGTGACGTCGTCAAGGCTTGTCCATGTTGGAGCAGGTGTCGTACTTCACCCATCTTTATCACTGAGTGCCAGTCCTTGCACGTGCAGACCTGGTTTGGCGGACCCCCTCGTGAGCTGCTGTCCACGTGGGCTGCTTCCACCTTATGTGACTCGTCACCGGCGCTCTATCAACACTCCTGTTCAGGGTCTGGGTGGGCTGACGTCTTCAGCTTGTTTGGGTGTGTACCTAGGAGTGGAATTGCTGGCTCATACATTAATTCTATGTTTAACTTTTTGTGGAACTGCCAGACTCTTCTCCACAATGGCTATGCCATTTTACATTCCCACCAGCAGTGTATGAGGGTCCTGACTTTCCACGTCCTCACTGACACTTGCTATTATCTGTTTTTTGATAGTCATCCTCAAACTCAAAAACACTGCCATCAAGTTGATTCTGATTCACAGTGACCCTCATTGGGTTTCCAAGACGGTACATCTTCACAGAAATAGATTGCTTCATCTTTCTTCCATGGAGCACCTGGTGGGTTTGAACCACTGACCTTCTGGTTGGCAGCCCAATGCCTTAAGCACTTCACTCCTTATATCCATCTTAGTGGCCATGAAGTGGCACCTCACTGTGGTTTTGATTTGCATTTTTCTGATTTAATGGTGCAGAGTATCCCTTCACATTTTCTTTGAATAAAGTCTATTTAGATCCTTTGCCTGTTTTTAAATCGTTAAATTTTTTTGGATTTTTTAACATTGTATTGTACTCAGGTGAAAGTGCACACAATGTATTAGTTTTCCAGTCGAGAGTTCATACAGACATTCCTCCGTGACAATGGTTGCGATTTCCGCAATGTGTCAGCACTCGCCCCATTTCCTCCCTGGGTTCCCTGTTTCATTGCGTCTGCTTTTCCCATCCCTCCCTGTCTTCTCAGCTGTGATTTTGGGCAAATGCTGTCCTTTTGGTTTTGCATAGTTGATGTTCTTCACGGTGCTGTTGTCTTACAGTCCCATTTGGCTGAAAGGTGGCTTCTGCAAGTGTTCTCAGTTTCAAGTTAGAAGGTTGTCTCAGGGCAACAGTCTTGGGGGTTCCTCAAGTTTCTTCCTACTGGTAAGTCTGATCTTCTTTTTAAATCTGGGTCTTGTTCTCCAATTTTTAACCCATTCTAACTGGGACCTTCTATTGTGGCCTCGGTTAAGAGGTCAGTCCTGGTAACCAGGCACCCTCCAGTTCTTCTGGTCTCAGGTGAGAGGAGGCTGTGGTTCATGGGGGCCATTTTCAGCCTTTTGGACTAATTCCTTCCTTGAGTTCGTTTTTCCCTGTTCTTCTTTGCTCCAGGAGGGAAGAGACCTACCGTTGCTCCTTAGATGGCAGCTCACAAGCTTCTCATGACCCCAGACGCTACTCACCGGCTGCGGATGGAGAACTTTATGAACTGTTCTGCCAACTGACCTAGGTGACCAGTTGTCCCCTGAGGTCCTTAGCCTTCAAGTCCAGTGGCTCAGTCCCAATGTCTAGGTAGTTTCTGTAACTGTGTTCCTATGTGCTCTATTATAAACATGAGTACATGTGCGACATTTATGAACACGTATGTAGACTATGCAGCACACCTCTATATGTATGAGGGTGTACGTCCGAATGACTCCCTCACCTGTTCAGCAGACGTACTTACCGACCTGTCTACACACAGGCTTCCTCAGTCAGCACCACTGCGGCAGGCTGTACGTGTTACAGCGTTTGCCACAGTGGCCCTTTATTCCAGTGCTCCTCTCAGTGTCCTCCTCGGCCTTGGCCACACTGTGCTGTCTTCCCCCATGTTGTGTATTGCCTTCCCCTTCACCAGAGTTGACTCGTCTACTGTCTTGTTAGTGCTTCTTCTCCCTCCCTCGCCCTCCTTCCCTGCCACATCCAAGAATGTTTCTTCCTGTGGGTAAACCTATTCTTGACTTTTCATAACGGCGGTCTCTATAACATCTGTCCTTTTGTGCTTGACTAAGTTCACTCAGCAGAACATCCTCCAGATTCATCCATGCCGTGGGACGCTTGCAGACTCAATTATTTGATTCACCCATGCCGTGGGGCCCTTGCAGACTCACCGTTATTTGTCGTCATGTAGCACTCCGCTGCACCTCTGTACCACAGGGTGTTTATCCACTCATCCACTGATGAGCACTTGGGTTGTTGCCATCTTTTTGTATTGTGAATAGTGCTGCGATGAACATGGGTATTTCTGTCACTGCTCTTACTTCTGTAGGATCTGTACCCAGGAGTGGGATTGCTGGATTTCATGGTATTTCTAGTTCTAGCATCTGAAGGAAGTGCCAGACCATTTTCCATGGTGGCTGTACCATTTGCAGTCCCATCAGCAGAGGGTGAGTTCCAGCCTCCCACAGCCTCACCAGAATCTGCTGTTCTGTGTTTCACATCAGTGCCATTTTAGCAGGGCTGAGATGGTACCTCATGGCATCTTGACTAGCATCTCTAATGACTAATGCTCAGGCATCGCTTCCTGGGTTTGTTAGCTGCCTGAATGGCTTCTTCGCTGAAGTGCCTGTTCATGTCTTTTCCCTCAGCCTGTACGTTCTCTTATTACTCTTTCGGTGAAGTCTATTGATGAGCGTACGTGTTTGGTTTTTAGGAGACCCCTACCTCATCTATCTTCTGCTGTCTGTGAGTTTTTGCTGTGTTGGGTATTCTATTTATGACATATATTAGTACACCCTGCATTGTCCCTATTTCTTCTTCCATCACCTTTACAGTTTTAGGTCTGCTTTGAGTTAGTTTTTGTATATGGTGTGAGGTATGGATCTTGTTTCATCTGTCTGCAGATATCCAATTTTGCCAGCACCACTTGTTAAAGCATCTTTCTCTTGCCCATTTAATGGGCTTCAGCCCTTTGTTGAAGATCAACTGCCCACAGGTAGATGGACTTTTTTTAATTACTGAATTGTAAGAGTTCCTCATAAATTCTAGATACAAATCCAAACATGCTTTCTTGAATGGTGGAAATAACTTCTGATTTGTTTGTTCTGAGGAACTCTGAGGCTGACACATTCTCCTCTCAGCTTTCTTGGTTTTCATATGAAAGGATCGTTTCTTTACAATTTTAACTCAGTATTAATGGCACTATTTTTGCAGCACTGCCATCAGTCTCATTTGACAGTTTGAACTCATGGCTTTCTTTAATGCTCCTGGACTGTCCCACTGTGCTGCTCAGGAAAACAACTACAGTACTAGCTTATGAGAAGGCATAACGTTTCCCCCATAAGAGGAAACTTTCAGATAATCTTAAACTTTTATAAAGTTTGACCAAAGCAAATTGTCCCGAGATCTCTCTGACCACTAAGATGCCTCTTTGATATTCTCCCCCTAAAGAGGGACTTCATTCGTTTCCCTGTGAGTAGGGACTACACACAGGCACTTGTTTCTAATGAGCAGACATAATGATGTCACTCTGACTAAGTCATGAAAGGCACTATGGGTTCCTCTCTCTCTCTTGGACCACTTCCTCTGGGCGAAGATGCTGCTATGTTGTAAGGACACTCAAACAGCCTTATGGAAAGGTCTCCATGGCAAGGAACTGAGGCTTTGTGCCAACAGCCATGTGAGGGAGCTGCCATCTCAGAAATGGATCCTCCAGCACCAGTCAAACCTCCGTATAACTTCAGTCCCAGTCGACATCCTGTCTGCAACTTTGTAAGAGACCCTGAGCCAGAACCTCCCAGCTAAGCTGCTCCCAAATTCCTGACTCTTGGAAACTGTGAGACAAGTGTGTGTTGGTTAAAGCCACTGTGTTTGGAGGTAATCTGTTATCCAACAGTAGATAACTAACACAACACTTGTTGTTGTTGTTGTTGTTATGTGCCGTGGAGTCAGACCCGACTCATAGCGACCCCTCCTTGGGTTTCCAAGGCATTATCACTATGGAAGTAGGTTGTCCAACCTTCCTTCCGAGGAGTGGCTGATGGGTTTGAATGCCAACCTTCTGGTTAGCAGTCAAGTGCCTCAGGCACTATGCTACCAGAGCTCTTAACACACCACTTCGGAAAAATAAAGACTAAATCTGTTTCTTAGCACAGTGCCACAAGCACTATACTAAGGACATCTGGGAAATGTTTTGAAAATTGTGTCCTCTGAGGTAGTCTAAATCTGGTTTATAAGAACCATCTTGAAATGTCACAGTAGAAGCTAAGGTTCTCTGCAAGTCTGAGAATTCCCTGAAAGTATTTTCAAGACTTTGTGTGTGGGATTGTTCTGCCTCAGAGGAGGGAGACCACCCTTTCATAAGATTCGTCAAGTATTTTTAGCCCCCCTGCCCCCCAAAAAATTAATAAGCACCTTCCTAAGACAAGGAGCTCTGACCCCATAGTGCCTAAGGCATGTGACTACTAACCAGAAGGTTGGCAGGTCAAACCCACCAGCTGCTCCACAGAAGGAAGACTGGGCAATCTACTTCTGGAAAAATTTACCGCCTCCGTAACCAAAGGGGGTTGCCAGGAGTTGGAATCAACTCGATGGCAGTTTTTTTTGTTGTTGTTCATAGGACATGACAGTGGCAGGTTTCTACAGTAGGGTCTGAAATCTCTGAGTGTGACTGTCCTTGAGACGACGAGACTTTCTGGAGGATTCGTTATGACCGAGTAAGCATGTTGTTGCTCTGTGGAGTCGTCCCCGGACACACTGCCGCCCCGTGCCCCACCCAGGGGTCAGACTGTCGTCTCCCAAAGGGTCTCAGGGACTGATTCTCAGCGGGTCCCAGGGGTCAGAATGTCGTCTCCCAAAGGGTCTCTGGGCTGATTCTCAGCGGGTCCCCAGGCCTCCCTTCCCAGCCCATCTTAGTCTGGACGCTCCAGTGAAACCCACTCAGCATCCCCGCAACACGCCACGCCACGTCTAATGAATGACAACACGTGCTGGCTGTGCGGGTGCCCCGGCTGGGAATCGAAGCCAGGTCTCTTGCACCGAGGTTAAAATGCTGCTATAGCCCCTGGCGAGTGAGCTTACCCAGCGGGAAAAGCCTCTGCCACATTTGGGGCATTCGTGAACAGTCGGGGTGAAGCTGGAATCGTGGTATTTCTTGAAGTGAGCGTTCACAAGTTGCTTCTGCCGGAAACATTTATTGCAGGACGGGCAGGAATACGGCTTCTCTCCAGTGTGGGTCCGCATATGTGCTGTCATGTGACGCTCCTGGGGCGGGGGGTGGGGAGACAGAGTTGATCTGTTTAAAGGACTTTTACGGTACTGACTGTGTAAGACGTTTCCCTCCCAAAGCTGAGTGTGCTGCTAGGCAAAGTTACTCCAAACACTTTCTCGACAGAGCATGACTGAATCCCTCAACATATGGCCTTCTTCAACACAAACTCCCACACAGTCCCTACCACCAAGTTAGGGAGCTCTGGTGGTGCAACAGTTAACCACCTGGCTGCTAGCCAGACGGCTGCAGTCTGAACCCACCCAGTGTCTCTGCGGGAGAAAGCCCCGGCGGGCTGCTCCTGCAAAGATTTCTACGGGGCAGCTTGACTCTGTCACACGGGGGCGCTGTAAGTCAGAGTCCCTGGGTGGTGCCAACAGGTACGAGCTCGAGCCCTAGCTGGGAAGTCGGCAGTTCAAACCCACTCAGTGGCTCTGTGGGAAAACCATCTGGCGATCTGCTGCCATAAACATCGTTGTTGCTGTTGCCAGGTGCTGTCGAGTCGGAGCCAACTCAGTGACGGAACGGAACACTGCCCGGTCCTGTGCCAGCCCCACAGTCCTTGCGACACCTGAGCGTAAAGGTCACAGCCTGCAAACCCCTATGGGGCACTTCAGCTCTGCCACACGGGGTCACGACGAGTAGGAACTGACTCCACGGCACCTAACAGCCACCACCACCAAGTTACAGAGTCCTTAAAAATCACTTCCTGGTGGTTTCCCAGGCCTGTGGGGGTCTGGTCCCCACACTGGGCAGGGCAACAATGAATACTTTCTCCTCTGACACAGGCTGTGTATCTGGAACCCTATGTAATGATTTTTAGCAGCCTCAGTTGACAAAGGACAAACAGAACGTGCAAACTGAACCCTCAAACACCAGAGTTTCAGTTCACAGGGTTGAAGTACTTCACGCATCCACCCGTTCTCCTGCTACTAACAGGTGTTGGACATACACGTCTAGCACAGGTGAAAGGTGCAATGGTGAAAATCACTGTTCTCGGTAAGATGTGACCAAAGGCATGAACCCCACGTATGTTGCTGCTGTTAGGTGCCGTCGCGTTGGCTCTGACTCACAGCAACCCTATGTGCAACAGAACGAAACACTGCCGGTCCTGCGCCCGCCTCACGATCCATGCCATACCTGAGCCCCTCGTTGCAGACACTGTGTCATCTCATTGAAGGTCTTCCCCTTTTTCATTGACGCACCACCTCACCAAGCATGACATCCTTCTCCAGGGAATGGTCCCTTCTGACAACATGACCAGAGTAGGTGAGACGAACTCTGGCCATTCTTGCTTCCAAGGAGCATTCCCGCTGCACTTCTTCCAGGACAGATTTGTTAGTTCTTTCGGCAGTCCACGGTACTTTCAGTATTCTCCTCCAACAACACAACTCACAAGGATCAACTCCTTTATCCATTGTTCAGCTTTCAGAGGCATATGAAGCTACTGAAAATACCATGGCTTGGGTCAGGTGCACCTTAGTCTTCAAAGAGACATCTTTGCCCTTCAGCACTTTAAAGAGGTCGTTTGCAGCAGATTGGCCCAGTGCAATATGATACCTGATGTCCTGACTCCTGCTTCCATTGGTGTGGACCGTGGAACCAAGTGATATGAAATCTTCGACAACTTCAGTGTTTTCTCCATCTATTGTGATGCTGCTTATTGGTCCAGTTGTGAGGAGTTTTGTTTTCTTTATGTTGAGGTGTAATCCATACTGCAGCCTGTAGTCTTCAACCTTCATCCGGGTTTGAACTGCCAACCCTTCGGTGTACAGCTGAGTGCCTAACCACTGTGCCGCAGGGCCCCTTGCTCCGCGTGGTATCCCTGCTAGAGGAAGACGCTGGGCTCCCGTCTCTGCTTCGGCCTTCGGTTTCTGAGCCTAGTGTGTGGTGTTTGAAGCAACTGAAGACAATCTAGTCTCTCAAATGGGTAGCTGGGGAAGGAAGGTGAATTGAACAGCCTTTTCCAACACTCATGGACGTTCTTTTCCGAGATTACACCACAACTCGGCAAGCGGCAACTTCCTCAAGCTGCAGTGTGGACCCGGAAACCCTCCGGGGTGTCTGGTCTGTGGGCTGAATCCGCTCTTCTCCTTCCATCCGAGCGTGTGGCTCTGTACCCTCGGGCGCTGGCCACCCGGAAAACGCCCGTGTACTGAGCTGTCTGCGCACGCGCAGCATGCAGCGCCACACCCAGCTTCTGCTTCGTTAACGTCGCCCCCTCGCCTCAGAAAAGCCGGGCAGCGTGGGAAAGCTGCCACGCTCACGGGAGCAGGTACGTGGTCCCAAGTCCTACCTGTCGAATTTTCCTTGGAAGCTGAAACTGCATCGCTGGCAACAAACGCTTCCCTTGAAGGGACAGGCTCACTGTGTTCCTTTTGGACAAACGTCCAACAACCAGATAAGCACCGTCTGTCGGCCACTGGTGCTTCCAAGAGAAAATGGCATCCTGAGAAGCTCCCGACCCACACAGCCCCAGCGCTGCTCGCGACAAACGTGTGCTTCACAGGACAGCACGGTGCTCTGCACAGACCCCCTGGCCGCACAGGCCACCAGATGCACACTCGGCGTCTGCAGTCTGTGAGGGGAAAGGCCTGCATGCCTCATTAAGCACATTCTTCAGTGACGCTGTCCTTTCCTTTTCCTGTGAGGGCGCGAAGGTGGGGACGCAGGGCGACTCGTCTGCAGGGGTCACTGCTTTGACTGCAGGCAAAGCGCCACCAGTGCCTTTGCGTCAGTGTCAATGTCAACAGTGACACGAGAGTGACCGTGATGTCTCCCTCCTGGGGCCTGTGAGCCACACTTCAAGCTGGAGCGTGAAGGCACTGCTGCTTCTGGGTTACTCAGAAGAGACATTACAGCCAAACGCCAACCAGCTGTGTTAAGTGGCCTCCGCCCCAGCGACCCCACGTGTGCAAGGAGCAGTGCTCCACGCGCTACATGGGAGCTGATTTTTTGCAAAGAGACTGCCAGGCGTTTCTTGCAAGGCACTGCCGGATGGACTACCTCCCCCTTTCTGTTAGCAGCCCAGGGTGCTAACTGTACCCCAGGGGCTCCTCTGCTGAAGCATGGCTGGTCCCGATATTTCAAAGGGACAGGGAATTTCAGCCCCTTCTTCCCCTGTACCCCACCTCTTCCTGCTGCGCCCCAGACTGGCCGAGCCCGGTACCTGCTTGCAGGCGTAACTGCAGTGCTCACACCGGAATCTCTTCTCGTCCTTATGAATCTTCTGGTGCTGGATAAAGGCATAGCGTTCGTGGAAGACATCCGGGCAGTAGTGGCACCTCATCTCAGTAGCTTTGTACGTATGCAGGTTACGCACATGGACACCTACGGGAACCACAGACACCACACTGTAACAGCAGGGTTTTCTGCCGGGTGAGTCCCCTACCCTCCATCTCCACGTTTCTCAACCTTGGCACTACTGACGTTTGTTGTTGTTATGTGCCTTCGAGTTGGACCTGACTCATAGCAACCCCTCTTTGGGTTTCCAAGGCGGTATCGCTAAAGAAGTAGATTTCCCAACCTTCCTTCCAAGGAGTAGCTGGTGGGTTTGAACTGCCAGCCTTCTGGTTAGCAGTCAAGTGCCTTAGGCACTGCGCCACCAGAGCTCCCAGAGAAATCTGTTGGGGCTGTTCTAGGCTCTGTAGGATGGTTAGCTGCCTTGCGGACCTGCGCCCACTAGGTGTCAGTGGCATCCACAAGTTGTGACAACCACAATGGCTTCCCACATTACCAAATGTCCACAAGGGGGCAACATTGTTCCAGGTTGAGCCACTGGTCTAAGGGGACGGCATACAAAAATGTCATTCTAATACTCTTTGTATGAAGTCACCTTTTCTATAAAGTGGGCCACACTGGACCCAAAGTGTCCACTAACAGTGCCCACTGGACAAAGTGGTTTTACCAGTAAAGATGTGACCTCGGTATTTCAACTTAAAGACTCCCACCCCGAGAGGGAGAGGCCAGATGTGCTGTTGGAGGTCAGTGTCGCCCTGCCTCCTAGTGGTAATGACCTGGACACATGGTGAGGTCAGATGGGACATGCTCATGTCTGCTCAGATGTGTCAGGCCCTACTGACAGCTGCACGATGGACAGACACCACGTCCCCTTCTCTCGTGGAGTCATAGGAGGTACAATCCAGCACGTCCAATGAGGGGGGGTGTGGAGGGTGGCACCTACTCCAACATGCCATAGCCACGTGACTCCGCCATGTGCCCAACTCCCATCCCTTTCTCAGCAATGACCCTGCAGACTACACAGCCCCACTGGGGCCACGTGTGGTGGGAGGCAGGCAGCCATAGTCGCCCCGACACAGGGTCAGGATGGAAAAGCAAAGTGAAGACTTTGTTTAGCGCCTCCACCCTTTCTGAAATGTTTTTGAAACAGTGCCTCTCACATCTGGGATGTCGCTGAGCAAACTGGTCAGTTCTGATTTTTGCCAGCGTGTTTCGAGTAACACCACCTCACCGTACCTTCTGGTGAGAGAAAAATCACGGGAAAGGGAGGGATCCTGACGGTGCGAAGGGAGGTGCCCCCCCTGACTCCTGTCCTCCCCCGCCCCCGAGCAGTGAAGACTTCCTCGCAGGTGGGGTGAGACCTAAACTCTTAAGTCTGGCACCAGAGTTGCTCACGGTTTTGTTCCACTCTCCCTCTACAGATGTCTTTCAAGCCATTGAGGCTCACCGTGTCAGGAGGGGGCTTCATGTCCCCTGGCTACCTCTCTGAAGGGAGAACTGGGTCCCGCTTCTTAATATCACTTACTAACTCTGTGGTGGGGGCGTCCTGGCCCACGCACTGGGCGGTCAGCACCATCCCTGGCCTCTGCCCATGAGGAGTCAACGGCACCCCCACCCTCCGAGCTGTCACTGCCAGAACGTCTCCAGACTTGGCCCACGCTGCTCCTGTGAGCACACAGCTGGTACTCGGAAGCCCCACCCTGAGTGCTAAGAGATGCCTGCTGCTGTCCTTGCAGAGAGCACAGCTTGGGTCAGAACCTCCAACCTGGCCGCCTCCTCTCACAGTTCACTCGATGTCTCTGAACCCCCGCTTCCCAACCTGCAGAAATCGGCCACCTAAGAAACAACTCCCAGTCTCAACTCATCTGGAGCAAAAGATGAAGAAAAAAACCAAAGACTCAGAGAAGCAGCTAGTCCACAGGCCCAACAGGCCACATGAGCCACGGCCTCATCAGCCCTGAGACCAGAGGAACTAGATGGTGCCCGGCTACCACTACCGACTGTTCTGATCAGGGCCACCACAGATGGACCCTGAGAAAATGCGAGAGAAATGTGGAACAGAAAGAACCTCAAATTCCAAAAAAGAAAACAGACCCACTGCACTGGTTGAGACTGGAGGACCCCTCCCCACACACCACCAAGACTACTGCCCTGAGGAACTCTCCACACATTGAACTGAAACCAGCCCCTGAGGTACCCTTTAGCTAAGTACGAGACTGGTTCAGAAAATAACCACCTACATGAGACCAAATGGTCAACGATGACTTTAAAAGAAAGATGAGAGGGTAAGGGGTCAGGAAACTAGATGAATGGAAATGCAACAACCAGAAGGGAAGTCCTGAGATGCTCACTACGGTGTAGCACGGAACCAGTGCCATGGAACAGCCTGTGCAGGAATTGTTGGATGGGAACATAAACTTCTGTGTCAATTTTCACCAAAAACACAATAAGATATTCTTTTTTTTTTTTAAAAAATAGGCCCAGTGTGTTATAAAATTATATCCACTAAAGAACCCTATGAGCTAAAACGTCTGTGAGAGCTTATCACGGACTTCCTGTCCAGTGACCCTGGCCAGGACCCTGAGCACAAGCTTCTTAAGTGTACTGGCACAGTGCTGCCACCAGATGGCACCACAGGCCTCCAGAAGAAAACTTGCACCAGCCACAGAGCGCCTTGGAACCAAGCTCAGCGCCCTGCCAGTCAACAAACAGCTCAAAGGCAGGCCATCACCAGCCCACTCACACAGGAGGCCCCGGTCACCAGGTCACTCACATAGTAGGCCCTGGTCACCGGCCCACTCACACAGGAGGCCCCGTCACTGGCCCACTCACACAGGAGGCCCCGTCACCGGCCACTCACACAGGAGTCCCTGGTCACCGGCCCACTCACACAGGCGGCCCTGGTCACCGGCCCACTCACACAGGAGGCCCTGGTCACCGGCCACTCACACAGGCGGCCCTGGTCACCGGCCACTCACACAGGAGGCCCTGGTCACCGGCCACTCAC